AAGAGAGATTTTCTTTGCTGCTCCTGCGTTGTCTTTGCTCTCTGTAAAACCAGGTCAAGCTTCTAATGCCCTAAAGCCCAGCAACTTCTAATTTTAAACTTTTATTAATTTGCTGAGAGAAAGAAGAGAATATGCTCTACTTTTCAATAGAAAGGGAAGTACCGTAATCTTGTGCTCATCTAATCAAATGTCACCGTAAATTAACGCCTCATGAATCCTCAATGAACTATGCTACCATCTTTGCCCAATATCTCCTTGCAGCACTCGGTAACCACTGTTTTTGAATACTCACTGGCCAGGAGTGACATCAAGTGTTTAACAGGCACTGACAGACATATCCTATTAACCTTCATTACTGCCTTTTGGTCAAAGGATAACATTATAACAATTTCTATAACTTAATTATACATTCTATGAAAAAGGACTTCTGCCTTTTACCAGTAGAGCCTCACCATTTTATCAATCCCTTAGAAAAGCCTTTTTACACTAGGTTTCTTCGAACTACAAGGCTAGCCCTTACCTGGCAGGGATAGCGTTCACAAATGACACTTCATTCCAAAAGACATGTACTGAAATATTTTATTTACCTAATTAAAATTAATGATCTTAAAAGATTCCATGGTTGTGAAATTGCTTTTAAAATTTCAAGAAACTTTTATATAAAAACCCAAGTATTACAAAGCATTTTTCCCTTAGGTTTGTAGTGCTGCTTATGTTATTGCTTATGAAGCTCTTTTTTCCCTTATCTAGCAACAAAATTATTTTCAGATTAAACACAGAATTACTTACGTGATATAACACTGTCAATATATTGTGGTAAATACGGAGCCCATGCATCAATTGTTTCTTTCCGACCTGCCTGTTCGATTCTTCTCAGTTCTGCTAACAGTAACGCCTGGGCAGCTTCTCTTACCTATAAGGTCAACCAGAATGTCATACAATCTCAAATCTTATTTATTAACATGTTTTAAGTATAATTTAAAAACAAGAAAAAGTAGCACTTAGAAAACTTATATAGAAACATGAGCTAAGCTTTTTGATTATTTTTCCCCAACACTCCCCACTTCAAATACAGAAGCACAATAAAAAGCAACATGACATGCCCAAACTATCATGACTACAGAGCATAGATGTGCTGCCCCATGAGAAAACTAGAGGATGAACTTCACAACTCGGTCCCCTTGCATGAGAGCACTGCACAAACCAAACCGGTGCTCTACCCTTTCCTGGCTTCTCTTCGCTTGCCCTTCTCAAAGCAGAAAGCAAGACCGACACAGGCTTCTTCCCCTTGCCGTAAGGTGAACGGTAATATAAGTTGCTTGCTCTCGGAAATAACATGGCTCACAACTGAACCTTATGCTTACATAGTGTAATGTTCGATCCACATAAGTAAAATTAGCTATCGCCTTTCAAAAAAGAGCAGCTCTGATCTACTGAAAGAATACCAAAATTTAGTTTTCTAGAAGCCATTTCTTGTGATCATCCTTTTCTACGATATTTCCAAAATTAACAAAGATAAATAATGCTCAAGTAATTTTTCCAAACGTCAAGAATGCTGGAATGCAGTAACAAGACAAAAGTCACTTAAAAATAATTTTTCATGTGGAAGAGTTAGCAATGAAAGAAGAAAAAATATATATATATAAAGGTTTTCCAAAGTTTACAGGAACTTTGCTTTTTACACCAAGAAATACAAAACATTGACAAACAATACAGGACAAATAGTACAAGACACTTATTCTACCTGAAGGTTCTGTAACATTTATAAATACACATATTAGATGTATCCTAAAGGATTTAGCACACAAAGAAGTCAAGTCACTTGACCAAAGTCAAACAGAAAACTGTGGACAGAGAGAAAACATGGACAAGAAGCACTCAGTACAAATTGAAACAGAGGAAATTCCATCTGAGCATAAGGAAACACTTTTTTACTGCAAGGGAGGTTGAACACTGGAAAAGGCGTCCCAGAGAAGCTGTAGAGACTCCACCCTTGGAGATGTTCAAAACCCTCTCTCCAAAAATCCCTTCCAACCTCAACTGCTCCGTGATAAAAATATAATATCCTGCCAGTAACTAGACTTCCATTGCTTACAAATTTTCATTAGTTTCAAAGTAATTACGCTCTCAGGAGGTCATCTCACTGTACACACTATCTAGCAAAAGATAATTCTGTAACAGGCAATCAGGAAGCAAAAAAGCATTTCCAATGAAGTTACAGAACTGCAGAAGACCTACGGTCTACAATCCAGCTCTGTTACTCCTTTCTTACGTTGAAAGCTGCACAATCAACAAAATTTTTGCCATAGCAGCATAGGTGTAGTGTTAAGGCCAACTAGTCATTTATCAAATAGTTGGGTGACAAACCATTTACTAACTACTATACATGCACTCCAAAAAAAAAAAAAAAAAAAGCAGCAACTCAGCAGTCTGGAATTTTTTTTTGATCCCAATGAGATTCTTGATGGACTCTTGAAAATTTTTAATCCAATAATTTTCTTTTTAAATATGAACAGCAACATTTCTGCTTACTACATGTCACACTGAAAGTAAGAAAATCTGCAGACATGATTACACTTCCAACATTTTGACACAAAAACTGAAAAAATTAACCTACCGTATGCGAAATAAGTAATAACTATAGAAACCTGTGTCAGAAACAAAGTAGCATTCTCTAGTCTACAGAAAAGTGGATTCATAAAAGACAACAGCATCAGTTTAAAAAAAGTACATTCTATTTGCATCAATAGACTAAAATCAAGAAAGTAACAAAACAGACAATCACATATTTTGATTTTGCTTCTTCTTCCCCTTCTACTCCTTCCTCCCTGCACCTCCAAATAGAATACAACAAAATAAAATTCCAAGAATTGGGGAAATTAGCTTTTCTAGCGTCAAATAACAGTATTCACAGTTGTTGTAGTAGAACAAGGATGACATCCAGTGGCCAATTAGATAAATCACAGACATACACTATTATTACAGAATCACCTAGGTTAGAAGGGACCTCTGGAGACCACCTAAGTCAAAGTCCCCTTCACAAAGCAGGGTCAACCAGAGCAGGTTTTATCAGGGCTGTGTCCAGTCCAGTTTTGAGCATATCCAGTGATGGAGACTCCATCACCTCTCTGGACAACCTACTCTAAAGTTTGGCCACCCTCACGCAGTAAGAGTTCCTCAGGTATGGTACCTCGCTGAAATGTAATGTACCAGATTAAACCAAAGAATTTAACATTTAAAAAGGTAGACTGAGATCTGAAAACACACTATTTTGCACCTTTTAAACACAGCATTAACCATAAGCAGGGAAAAAAAGAGTACAAAATTACTACTGAAATCACCTCCAAGCATCGATCCTGCCACCTGCGAGCTAGCATCTCCAGAAGAGGAGGTCTAAATTTGTCCAGTCCTAACAGGTCAGGGAGCATAACACAGTGCATAGCAGCGAGCTGGCTCCACCCTGTTAAAATACATCGTAACAAGAAGATAAACATAAGAGGCACTGAAGCAATTTTAAAATACCATCAAAGAAATTTACACTGGCCACTGAGGGAGAAGGAGGGCAAGAAAAAAAAAAAAAAAAAACCACTACAGCTATTTTCTTAAACAAAACAGGATTCTTTTCCTCTGCCATGGGAACGCAGGGTTCACCCCTGCCATGGGCTGGACGCCCAAGCTCTAGAGACAATACGTGTCTTTTTACTGATTCCAATCAGCTTCAGATCAGGTTTTACAGTGTGTGATCTTCCTGTTTCAGGCACAGGAACTGAATGAGCGCTTCAAGGGAAATACCTGGTCAGATCTCTTAGACACATGCAACGTCCAAGAGAGATACCAGAAGAAGGTTGTCTCAAATCAGTCCTGATTTAACGCAAACATCCCTCGTTTCCCACCCCCTCTCAAGGAGGCCTTCCAAAAGTAACAACATTCAGCCTCATACTTGGACTTTGAAGTTGCAGCCTTATGAATATGCTCAGCATAATTAGTAAATACAGAAAGAGTTCCCAAAAGAAGTACTACAGCTAATATTTTCAAAAGCATAAGCCAGTGCCCTCAGTTCAAGATTAATTTAGATGATCTGTTCAAACAATAATTTATGACATTCAATGTCCTATTTGCAAGTGTGATATAATCTAGTTACAGAAAACTAAGTATATGAATTATCACGACAAAAACCTGCGTAAAATTTTATGTTCAAAAGTTATCAGAATAGATACTAAAAGCAACTTACCAACAGAGCTAGAAGGGGTGTGCATGCGTGCGTGTGTGTACACTTACACGCCAATCTTTTTGGCAGAAAAATGTTCTTTATAAAGTTGATAAATATTTGGGGGGAGGGGGTTCACCCCCAACCACAAAACCCAAGTAGCTTAAATCCAAGCGCTTTAAGTTTTCATAAGCGCCAGAAAAAGAATTTAAATGACATGAAAACAATTTTGTTTCTTTTTAAAAGGACCATTATATTTTTAGTCTTTCCGTTTGCAATGGAGACTGCAAAACGATGGTGCTCGTTCATTACGGCAGTGGAAACACTTGCTCACACTAGAAGGTACTCCAGACTCTAGTTTGATTTGAACCTTCCTACCAAGAAACAGAAGCTATATCCACAACGGAAGCAAAGGAAACGGCACACAGAGAGAACACAAAACTAAATACATTACAACTTCTTTCATTCATATATTACCACGTTTGTAGATAGAGGCATCCAAAAAAGCACAGTGCTATTTCCTATTTAAGGGAGCAGTTGATACAGCATTCTTCTAGAAGGAGCCTTCTAGAAGAACAAGCTTTTTCTTGTTCTTAAATTTGTCAACCTAAAGATTTATATTTTCCCTACTTGAAAAGATTGAGAGTATTTGTTAAAAAAAAAAATCAGCAGGACCAAACAAGTTCTGAAACGTAATCTCTAAAACAATGTTCATGAAGTGACTTTCCACAAAGTCCAAGACACACAAACCAGATCTACTCACCCTTTACCAGCATTAATGGCAAAGTATACAAAAATAAACTCTTTGCCTCTGTTTCTTGTAATGACAAATACCTATATAGATTAAAGTACTGTCATAACAATGATAAGGGACATTAGTTGAAAGTAAGAGATAAATAGATAGAAAATGAGGAAAGAATACCTTCGTTTACTAAGAAACAGGTATGTAAAGTAGGAGCAGTGTCAGAGCCAGAGTGACCAGCTTCAGTGCTAGAAGAAACAGCAGGAGCAACTTGCAGAGGAAAAAAGAAGAAATAAAGAGAAAAAAAATAGGAAAGTGAGGATAGCAACGTCTGAAAAATAGATTAGTATTACTGAAGAATGAAAAACAAAAATTGGAGGAAACTATGATAATATTAAACTAAAAAAAATTTTAGGTTTTACAAGAAGTGCAATGTCAGTGAGAGAAAGACATGCAACTGCAGAAAAACATAGATATACTAACATAAATTTGCATGTTTTGAAAAGAGAAAGTACCTATAAATAAAAAGATTACAAATACGGTTTTTAAAGAGCGTGGATTCATTTTGCAACACTTCACCATGAATAGAAAAAATACAAGTTCCAATTTTTATTTTTAAGTTTTTCCAGTATCTAGACAGATTTTCAGTTTGCACTACTCACTACACAGCCTAGAACTGAACAACCAGTTCATTTCTATTACTCTGAAATGGTATAGAAGGTATTACTGATCGTTAGTTTTAATATAATACTGTTCAAACGTATCTCAATATTCAAATAATTTTAAACCTAAATCAAAGAAAGGACTAAGAATATACAACATAAACATATAAAACACACAGTAGACAAGCAGCTATAAAAGAGCACAGTTCACGAGTGTTATTCGAGGCAGAAGTTATGGCATTTACTTCGTAAACTGCATAATTTCTTGGCGCAAATGCATTTCAAAAGCGGTTCTAAACACTGTACTTCACTAATGCTTCATGACTTGAAATTATCACATGAAAAGATGTGCAGACCTTATGGCATACGCATGCTACAACCCAAGGTCAACGTTAAGATTTACAGGTCACGATCTGACACTTCCTGTCTATAGAGAAATTATCACGTCATGCACAAGCATCTTCAAATTAATCCTCCTCTTTTATTCCCTTGCGGAACAACAATGGGTTCAAGCTCCTGAGCAGATTAGGCATTGTCTTCTGAATAGTATGTTTGCTTTTCATGCAGTGAACTTCTTTTGTCACCGTAGGACATCTGCATCAAAACTACTTTTTTCCGTACTTTCCACATGAATGCATCATGATGGCACGTGTACAGTGACAGGATGACTAGCAGAAATCACATTGTGACAACAAAAATTAGTTTCAGTAGATGTGAAAAACAGCTATTTAATTTATGAAAAAAGATTAATTCTTTGTAAATAAGTGAAGTCTTTTTTTTAAAGTTTTTCTTTCTCTTTTTTTTTTTTTTCTTTTCTTCTTCTTCTTCTTCTTTTTTTAATTGTCAGCTCCCTTCAAGTGTCATTAATTGTATCAACCACTATTACAGAAGCAGCTGGCCCAAAAGCTGAGTAACACTGGGCTCTAGTGATCTCAGGACAAATACAGGTCAAATAGATGGAGATCAAGCATGTCATAATAGGCATTAATTGTAGCTGCACTAATTGATTTCTGAAATCTATGAGAAGCAAGATGCTACATATAGCACATAAAGGGATGTGCACATTGGATACTAAAAAAACTCAAGATCCAAGTGTACCCTCAGAAAACAAAACCATCTTCTTCCAAGACTGCGTACCTCATGCCACCAAAAGTAGGAAAAAAAGACCGTTTAGAAACTATGGTATTTTTCTGTACTTTCAACAGCACACAATCTCATTTTTATCAATTCTTTTCCCAAGCAGTTTTATATATTTTTGTTACCAAATGGAAATGTATCCATCATCGTAATTAGCAAACCTATTTCAAAGAAAAATGATATAGTTTTCATTCTGGAAAGGATAATCATAACGGAACTACAGAGGGACATAAACCCTACCTGTGAGAAATACATTTTAACATTGAATTTGCTGTGCAGACGTGATTTTTGGGAAATCTTGACCTCGCACACACTTCTCTTTCAAAATAAAAAATAAATGCTTGTAAAATAACACAACAAAATACCTTTTACACGTTAAAGACAACTGCTCTTCCTCATTTTTTTTTTTTTTTTTTTTGGGGGGGGGGGGGGGAACACATTTCTGCTTTTTGCTATTGCCCACTACTTCTCTATTATGTAGCATCCCTGATCAGGAGAAGGAAACTTGAAGTGTGCCACTCCTGAAAATGAGTTTCCCTTTTTAACTGAACGTCACAGTAAATTAATATTTAGCAAAATAATGAATACGCACAAATATTGCTGACTGGCAAGTTTCCTCCTCCAAGATATAAATATCCCTCTTCTTCACATGTGAGTGAAGAAAGTAATCATACAACTGATGTATGAGGTACCTGTTGTGCTTACTACCCTTTCTAATCTAAGAGCAGTTCCACAGCTTAAAGATGTATTTAAAGATATACATGAAGGATAAATATTCACTAAAAATACCACAAGGAAAAATCACTTCTACTCTGTAATTAAGAATTAAAAAGTGCAATTATTTTATCAACTGTAAATTTCTCCTTATTCAAATAGCTTGAAAAGACAAAGTTTTAACAGTTAACCATAACGGTTAAGACTTAATAAAAAACAAATATGATTAAGAAAACTTGAAACGAATCTGAAAGGATATTTTCTTTATATATTACGAAACACATTACAGAAAAAAAACCAAACAACCTACTATTCTGACCTATAGCATATGCACAGAGCTGGATTCGCATCAAAAAAATTTTCAAAAAAATCAATTTTGTAAGAAGATTAATGTTGTATATACCTTTTCTCTTTGTTTTATCATACAGTGAAGTGGTCCTCATAGCAAAGCGTAAGTCTGCAATCAGTTTCATCTACTGGCTTAAAAGCTCACGCTTATACGTTCTCCCCAAATTGTTAAAACCTTCAACTGCTTTCCTGTTGGTAATTGTTTGAAAATGCCAGTTGCAGTTAACAGTAATGGAATCACTAGGTTTTATTTACCCGTTATCCCCGTTACGGGCAAACACTGCAATTGCTGTCTACCAGCCCCGCAGGTATACTACCTTACCACACCATCCCCACTTTGGTTCTCTCGCTAACAGTTCATTCGCTCCTTACTTTTGTGCTCAAGTAAAAATTGGCCACATCATGGTATTTTACGCTTACTTTAAGAGAATTAGTTCATTTGTCCCATCAAACAGCAGCTACCTAATTTAGAGAAAGCACAGAAGGGGCCACTTCCTCTTTTGTCTCTTCGTTCACGGGAAGATGATATTTCTTTGGGGCTTCTGGCATCCAGAGGAAGCTCTATTTACCACTCCACTCTGCTCCAGTAGAAAACGCAGGTCTAATCTTGTGCACATCTTTCTCTTACATCACATATTGTTTTATATATGTATACTTAATCATTGTACTTATGAAAGAAAAGATATAGACTAGAAAAGACTATTAAAGGAGCCTAAACTATCACCCGTTGCCATCTTTCATAATTGCAATTGACGAAAGTAGTAGCAGAGGTAGAATTAGTGTTAAAACAAACATTTGTCTTCATCCTTCTTAAAAGGGAGAGGTAACATGTATATATTACTTACGTGTGTTTATCTTTAACCTTTAGTTTAGATATATTATAAGCATGTTTGTAGTTGGCCAGTCTGTGGACTTTAGATGCTTGACTGTCACCTGATCCTCAACAGCAGAATGCTTGGGAGCACTTAAAATATGCAAAAATTCAATGTCAGAGAATCACTCCATGACGGTATCACCACCTTATATAGATTTTTAAAAAGGTCTTAGTCATTAAAATTTTTGCCTAGCATATCACACTACTTTTTTCTCCCTCATTGTAGAAGCTAGCGATATTTTTTTTAATCACTTGATAGTTGACAACTTCAATGCCAAGAGCTGGAATGAGATATCAAATTGTTTTACAGAAGGCAATTTTTACCTTGCTTAATTTGTCCTTGAGCTGCATGACTTGAAATTGAAGGAGGTGCCTTCACTTTTGACATCTCAGGAGTGCCTGGCCTAGGAGGCCTAAACATGAAGCATGTGCGAAGGGGGAGAAGAAAGGGGATGGGGGAGGGGGAAAAAAAAAAGATTATTTGCTAAAGATATTGTAGCTAAACAAAGTTTGAAAGGCAACCCTGTAACAAAAGTCAGTTTAACATCAAAAATAGACCTCAGTTACAATTCCTAGGTAAACTTATTCTTTGATGAAATACAATGAAAAGCATAGCTATATGTTTTGATTGATTCAGAATTTGATCTACTAGTTCTAAAAACTCTTTAAAAACAATAAGCATTCAAAATAAAGGACAAAAATGGCCTCTCATCCCTATCAGGACAAATTATAATAACTCTATATTATAATAATATTTTAAATTACATAAGTCCATTAAAAGCAATAAAGCTATCTTAGCATGAAAAATAATATACTGAAGAAAGAAGAAATACATGCTGTTCCTCTAGGTACCAAAGCTTATCACAGCCATTTAATACAGCAAATCCAAGAGTAAAATTAAACAAATTAAAATCTGTATTAAAATACAGACTCTGAAAGAAAGTTATCACAAGTTAAACAAAAGGAGTATTTTTCTATACCTTGTTGGACCTTTCTTCATATGGTCTCCAATAAAAGTGGCATTAGTCATACTCATCAATGTGTTTGCCAATGAAATAATAGACAGGAGATGCTGAGTGGTGACAGCACGTGATACACCGTATGTCCCCTTTCCTAGTCCTTCGGTAATGGACATTTTTCTTCCTAATTCCATACTATCATACGGCGGTTTACCTATAGACTGATTATAACCAGGAAGCATGAGAGACATGTGGCCTCCTCTAGACAGCAGGCCAAAGGACACAGAACAGTGTGGCTTAAGCATCCCAAGACGATTAAGGCAAAGCTCATCTAGAACAGAATTCAAGCCCCAGGCATGAAGACAAGACATAAAAAGCTTTGCTGTATCCATGGTTAGATTATATTCTAACAAGGTTAATGGTTTAGATTTGCTAGAGCGATATTCTGGGTCACCGTCTTCTCTCCTCTGTCTTATTGACTCTTCATCCTCATCTTCATCATCGAGGAGATGTTCTTTTATATTCTCTTTGATTGTTTCCTTGACCTGCTGGAAGAGAACTGCGGCTCGTTTGCCAGTCAGAAAAGAGCCTCCTTTGTCAGAACTGCCAGATGCTTTCTGTAAGTTCTCTGGGGAAATAAGTGCAGTATTAGGCCTAGAGGCTTCTTCCGTCAGTAGCTGAATAATCAGTGCTTCTACATCAAAGAAGAGCACATGTATATCCGGATCTGTTAGGTTGGTCTTTATAGCTTGAACCATCAGGGAGTTGTGTGAATATTTAGGTAAATTTCCCTGTAATTTAAAAAAAAAAAAAAGAAGAAAATATTTTGAAATTTTAATTGGATTACTTTCTTAATACTTTTCATGAAGCTAATTCATAAACTGAGGAAGCTCTGAAAACTCACATAGGTGTAAACCATGTTATGAAATTGTTAGTGAAGAATTTTACAAGATTCTTTCTAGATGTCAGGAATAAGAAACTCGTGATCAAATATGACATCCCTAAAATTGAAAATCTCACTTACAGGAGTTTCAGACAAACACAGCTCTCTACATAAGAGGGAACGTCACATTTGTTACACAGAACATGAATTCTAACAGATCAGTTATACCCTAAGTACAAAAAAAATTCCAATATTTTGTTTTTATTAAGCTTAAAAAGCACTAAATATTTCACATTCGGATATAAGGAGAACTGAAAAAGCAATGTAGCCAAGGCTCCTACCTCTCGTCTCATCTATAACTCAGCCTTAATTTTAGTATCAGCTCTTTCAGTTTGGTATTCTCTTAAGTGTCCCTATTATTTCCACTCTCTACTGTCTTTTTTAAACCACAAATGCAAATTTAACGGCACGTTAGGAATGTGGAAATTAACAATGTTTGAAGTTTTTATAAATACACTGTCTATATATGAAAATACATACACACTAAGTGTTTGCATATATATATATAAATAAAAATATATATATACAAAAATACTCAAGTAACTGATAAACTATATATTATATACAAATTATGCAGCCATTTTCATTCTGCTTCCAGAACACTAATAAATGTATTTATCAGTATGAATCATAGAAACACTTGTATATTCCACCTAATGTCTTTTACTTGGAAAACTGGATATGTATGCCTAGTTCTTCCCTCCCTCAAGGACTTTCTCTCTCAATGCAAGCTTTCTCTCTCATATTTCTAAACCTATGACTGCTTAATAATTTTGTACAGGATTTCATAGCAGGTGTTTGAAAACTGAATTTACCTATACATATATATACACGCATACATAGTTTACATATATTCCTTTTCCATTACAGCTATATAGACTCTAAAAATGGTGTTAGCTTTAAAAAACGTCTGCCATATCCCGTTCGATTACCGCTGCAGTGTACGGTGCTGTTTGAGCAGTAGGCATGCTATTGTAATTCCCAAGGTTTTTGCCCTTAAAGCACTCTGCTTCTTCTGTGGCTCTGATACCTCATCTTCTTATACCTGATTTTTAACAAGATCCCTTTTTTATGAAAAAAATCTTCAGAGATCTTCAGAGGAAAAACTGGCCTCCCCAACTTTTATATATGAGCTTTCTGCTTGGAAAGAGATCTCTCCAGAAGACGTTACGTTACTGTCCTGCAGTCAGGAGCAGCTGATGAGCCAACCGTAGTTTCTTCTGGGTTCACTTCTCGCTATTAGACTATTTGTTTCTGAGTATTCTGAGTATTACTGAGTACTCTGAGCAATTCAAGGATAAGCTAAAGAGAGTCACATTTTTCAGATGCTAAGACACGGCTTCTTAGTTTTGTCTAAACATAATATGCACAAAGTTTGTTCGAGTTTATTTAAAGCAACCCGTTATTTTAGCTTCGACTTCGTAATCTTCAATTTTCCACCACACTGATACATTATTTTTTAATTTGCAAACTGCTAACTTAAAACTGCTAATATTTTGCTTACTTAGAATGAATATCCATGTATATTTTATTGTACGGTGTTGCAGTAGAAGAGAACAAGTGCTGATTACTGGTTGGCTTGCTGCACTCACTAGTTCTTGTTCATTTTTAAAGGATGATTCTCAATGAATACAAAATGAACAGTCCTTGGTGTTTCCACAGCCTCAGCTGTAGTTTCAGGCACTGAATTCAGCAATGACCGGTTTTCTCTTTTAATTCCCAATCATATTTTGTGTCTCTGAAACGATAAGTTATTGCCTTAAAGGAAGGTCTCCTGTGACACCTCCTCACGAGAGGTTTTCTCAGCTAGAACATCACCAACAGCAGCTCTGAATAGCGCTCTTTAAACGTTTTACATTGTTCTAGCGCACTGATATCGTAAAAACCACCACCAAGCAAGACAATAAAAGCATACACACACAGAGACATATTCCCAACACATATAAAACATCTCCCCACCAACGAACCGCAGACCTGGCAAAATTTTCAGTAACATCTGCTGCTCCACAAGAATCAAATAACTCTTAATTTCTGTCTTTCCTCACATTAAAATCCGTTTCACTTATGCAATGAAATCAAGACTCTACCGGAAGAAAACTTCACATTTGGTCACAAGGGTTATGAAAGAAAAACTGAATGGAGACCATCATCTTCTCTTTCTTTTCTGACATTTCTCACAGAAGCTGCAGTGCTGATTAGTTCAGACCGCTACACAAACAGCCAAGGGGCCTAACAGAGTCAGCACGAGAGCACATACCCAAATCCTGTTCTTTTTTTCCTGTGGTCAACTCTGAGAGCAAAGAAGTTATGAGTTATAAGTTTGTCATGAGAAGCAAATCATGAATAATGGGAACCAGAATAGAAATAATTAAATGTCAATAAATAATAACTGCCAATTATGTTCCACAATGCACTGATTTATTCACATATTCCTTATTTATTACAAATCTAGTTGTTATTTTCTGAGAAGGTAACGTAGGCACCTTTTTATACAATGGTCTCTGGTAATGGTCTCAATGGTAAAATTAGAGGCAACAATGTAACACAAATATTTTAGCTGTTAATCACTGTTGCTCTCTTTTTTGCCCTTCGTGTGCTGGGTACCGTAACAGCGGTGCTGCCTTCAGCAGCCAGCAGTACCCTGATCAGAGCTGAGATACCTGCGCCTACAAGCGCAGCATTGAGGTTTACGTGAGCGGAAAGTTATACTGGATTCAGTGGGAATACTAGTACCCAAGTCTGAACGTACATCTTTGTGGAAACTAAAGAACAGTCTCTATACGTTCCGTTTGGAAAAAAAAAAGTCATTTAACATAGGAAGAAAAATAGTGATACATGCTGGAAGCAGATCTCTGCTCCCCTCTGCTGGCCCATAATCAAAACTACCAGCACACTAATTAGTGCTGGTAGTGCACACCAGTCTGCACTAATTAAAAGACAGACAAAAGCAAAAATGCAAGCTCCTTCTCTAAGGACTCAGTTAAAATTTTAAATGCCATTAATAGGATAAGCAAATTTACTACCTGCATAGCCTACTCTGACAGGTCAGTATTAGGGGGAAAAAAAAAAAAAGAGTTAGGATGCGTGGTAGCATGCTGGCAAGAAGGTGTTTAAGCAGGACATGGAACTGGAGGGGACCTCCAGAGATCGTCCTCCCTGCTCAGAGCTGGGTCAGCTGGAGTAGATTGCTCAGGGCAAGGAAAGCCTCTTCTGTACTGCCTTAACACACAGCTCCAAGGATATTTCTTTCCTAGTTTCCTTGAAGATAAATTTTCCACTTCTTTGTATTAAGTTTTTATTTTAATAGAAAGATAAAAATAAAAAAAAAGAAATCAGGTGTCATATTCGCTCTGTGGCAAAGTTCATAAAACCCTCACAAGGCCAGAAGTCATCCTCTCTCTGTATTTTGCACACAAATATGCATGCTGCAAAGCCCAGGAGAAGCTCTTTCTTAAGCTCTCCTCTGATGATTTGCACTGATATGCTGTTTAGTCCATCAGCTAAACTACCTTTGATACTTAAGCCTACTTCTAAAATTTACGTTACAGAGACAATAGAGATGGAACAAAGAAGCAGAAAGTGATGCTGTTTGCAAAGACTAAGAGGCAGCACTGCTGAGCCCAACTCCAAAGGCTGAAAACTTTGAGTCTGAATCTAGGACTGCATCTAGGCTCTGGGTTTCCTCGCACAACTATACAAATAATTAAATTGTATTTGTGAACTACTGGAAGATTGATCAAGCATATAAAAAAAAAAAGAGAATATATAATCTGAAAGGCCTAAGGACTATATTAAATCTGTTTTAAAATAACGCAAACAGCAGCAAATTAAAAATAAGAGGCTATTCAGCACCAGCTCTTGTGCCGTACTCTCCCCCACACTGCAGTTCCGTAAAAATTTTACATCACACTAATTTTTCCTGGGATACATCCTACATTGCACTCTAGTTTTAACATTCTGAAGAGCAAATAATGTTAAAATTATGCTTTCTATTACATATTTTTGAAATTCAAGCTATTTATGAGATATCAATTCAGAAAAAGAGCTCTTTTTGCTAGTCATCCTTTGACTCCAGAGACTAATGTGTAGGCTCACCCTCCAGTTGTCAATTTAGCACAAATACAAGTATTTATTTACTGCTCACATTGGTAAGGAGTCTGTTGCTATATTGGCTCATTGTAAACTTGTGCGTCTAAACATACACACACAAACACGTCACGGCTATGTACGTGGGGCTCAACAACAGGTAATGAACGCTTTTCACAAGTTACTACGGACACCTCCATTTGAATGTGTCACATAAACTGAAACACTTAGGAATCAGCTAAGCCCATTAAAATCTTGCTTTAAACACTGTTAAAATCTTTCTCAAACCATAATTAATTTTCAGCATTTAAGTTAAACTGGTTCCATTTATATCTGCTCATATATATATTTTACTAATACTTTTTTTTTTTCCTCTCCAAATTGTGGCTATGTGGCAGGCCAGAAAAAAAATTTCAAGCTATGGCTTCATATAGCTCCATCTTTAGAAAGGTCTGCAGGAACGTGTGCAGCACGTGTAACGTGGCGGGGGGGGCAGACCAAAGCTGACTCCGTTGCTCAGTGCTAGCGCAACACAAAAAGGATAAGTCTTCCTTACTGTGGATCTGGAGCATAGGCTGGACCCTTGTCTACACATCAATATTACAAAATTAACAGAAGGTATACAATTGAGCAAGTACTCCAAATTTATTAAATGGCACTAAATCCAGATTTTTAAAAACTCAACCTGAAAAACAACGGGATAAAAAGAAACTGAAAGAGGAGGAAGCGTCAAAAACAGTAACGTCAATGGGGGAATAACATCCAGAGGAATACTGAAAAGATTGTTTTGGTTGGTGAAATTAAGTATTTATTATTACTCATCTGGAGGGCAAAACAAACAGTTTATTTGGTGCATAACCTTATGTCCTTGCTAAATTTAGAGAAAAAAAACGTGAAAGTAGTACCGACTTACAGATAATGAAAAAGAAGTTTAAAAACCTTAAACTCCAGGAAGGAAAACCATTACCACTGAGAGCACAAAATGAACACATATAAATGAAAAAAGAAAACAAACAAACAAGTGGCGTTCGCCCGCCTCCATCATTAATCTGCTGTGAATCTGAAAGGCTCAGACTTGCATAAAAAATGAGTAAAAATATTTCATTTATCTGAACAATTACTCTTCAGCCGAACTAGGTCATGCGGCTGTGGCTAGATTTAGTGGTCAGCATAGATTAGGCTCTAAGCAACAATGTAGCCTGCAGTAGCAAGTTAAAAGAATAGGTACTCTAATCACTCTCTTTCACATAGCAGATCTTTTTAAACAAAATAGAACAAATAATCTTAGTGACCTCTCGCAATACCAAGCTCTGCTACAACTCGAACCAGTATTTCTAGTGAAGTTCAGGAGATGATCGAATGTTTCTAATATAATACATACCTCAAGAAAAGCAACAGCCATCAATTCATGGCCCTTAAGTGTCTAAAAATGTAACTTCAATAGACAACAAAATTCACTTCATTGTTTCCAACTGAAAATACATATATATTTGTATTCTATGGGCTGAAATCTTTAAGTTGAAGAACTTGAACAATTCCTGTCCATATGGGACACCAGTAACTCTCAATGCATGAGATCTGCTCCAAATCCCTTTGGATTGCCACTGCCCGGTCCCCGAACAGCTGATCCATCTCCTTCACCTCCTGCCTACCTGCTGGGTCGGCATTAACGGAAGGAAAAGAAGATCTTGGACAGTAGCCTTCAGCACTGGCGGGCTATGAAGAACCCAGCGTCAGGTAATTCTGATCAACAGCCGCCTCAGTTAAATTACTGTTCACGGTCCTTGCCCTTTCTGAAACACCACACACAAGTCCGAGGCTAAACACCACTGTGGTACAGGGGGCCAAACACCCCAAAAAGCAGCATTATCAAGAGAGGTTAGAGGCTACATGATGCAAGAGGATAAAATTCAGCTAGTTCACCCAAATCAGTTCTTTGTAGCCTGCATTCATTCATCCAAGGGAAAAAAGCATTCACAAAACTAGGTCAGTTTTTCAGTGAAATCAAGGTGCTAGAAGTGGGACTGTAAGGAAAGCCTGCCTACAGCTTTCAGCACAACATTGACCAGGGTGAGGGGAAAGGAGGGATTTGGGGAAGCAGTTTCGCTGTCCCACAACACAAACAGAAATAATCCCATACTACAAAGTCTTCAGCAAGCACAAACAAGGCGGTCAGCTGACAATGAGCTTCTGATGAGGCAAGGTGGTCTTCAAAAGCCTCCTGCGGGGCCGGCTGTGCTCAACTGGCACAGACGGCCAAGGTACTGCACCATGAGAAGAGCCGGGTCAGGTGAGACCACAGGTCCACGCAGCCCAGCAGCCCGTCGCAGACGAGCATGACCACGGGGCAACCGCACAGCGGTGCTTCCCAGGGCAGATGCTCAGGTACCACTGCTCCATGGCTCAGGACCTCACCGAGTCAGAGCTGGTTTCGTTCTCATTGAGAGATTTGTGGGGGGAGGCCCGGTGGGTGGACAATCCAGTATTTAAGGAAAAATAGATGGATTAGCTTTTGGTAAAACAGGCCACGATACCAGAAGGAGGCTCTCTCAATTGGTATTGCCAAGCTCCACGGATGCTCTAACTGAACAAATGGATGGATCTAACTTGTAAGAAGAGTGAAGGAAAGAAGAGGGTTTGGATTATTTGTTTTGGAGGACATCACTGTCTTGTATAAGCCATGCATTTGTGAGTATATACACATCTGTTAATTGAACAGCAACTGGAATAATCTTATCATAAGGAAATCACCAACACTTCGGCATTTTTTTTAATTTTTAGTCAAGCTAGAAACACAGCAACTACAGAAAACATTCAGATAGCCTCCATATGCGTATGCCAGTGTTATGCGATATTCTGTCAGAATACATTTATACCAACCAGATATTTCCTGTTGTTTATAATTAAGCTCTTTGCTAATTTTATTACAATCAAAATGAAGGAAATGGTGTTTTGCACAGTTCCATGCATTTACCACCACATTCCAAATTTCTCCTCAAATCCCTTCATGGTGTTTGGTAGCCTATGTTATTAATACTGAAGGGAACTAAAATTGTTGTGAAATTAAAAACACTATAAAATTAAAAATCCCCCCACATATACCCTCCCCCACAGGTTCCAACTGCTAAGATAGGTATACTAATTCACTATATTGCTTCTATTGCTTCTATTATGAGATTTATTTATAAAAACTAACATGAAAATGTAGGACTTTGACAATTTAAATTTAAATAGATTCACCATCATAACTGTCTATATTCATGATGTAAAACATAGAATTTTAGTTTTCCCAACAGCAAGCAAAATATTCCTTATTCCTTTTTTCTACAATATGCATCTATGTCTACTCACTCTTTAACCCCTACTCCAGTAAAAAACAAAAAGAAAAAAAATACAGCCCTTCACTGTCATCTAGATATAGCCTGCAATATCCTGGAGGCTGAAGTCAGAAAGGTGTTCCTGATAGGATTTCTCTCAGAGAAGCCCATAATCCCTGTACAGAAGAAAGACAGTGGTGAAAGAAATCCCTAATGGGTGGAGAGCGGCAAGAGAAATCCCAGCAGCTCTTTCAACATCCATTTTTCATAAAGAGATTATTCCTCCAGCAACCTTTAACTTCTTAGGCTTGCCTCTGCAAATGTATAATTCTTCTCCCTTATAAATTGGGCAAGTATTACCACTGCTAAAGGACTCAGCATGTTCACAAGTAAAATATAAGGCTAGTCTCTTATCTAGAGCTTTTAATCACTAATTTACTGTAAAACATACTACTAAAACTGGGAACAAGTCTATAAAAAAACCACAGAAATATTGTATGATGGGCTGAAAATATAAAGTGTTTCATCACTGTCATAACAGATTTTTTTCTTCTCTCAAATTTTTATTCTCACTTTGTTTTTACCAAAACCGTCCTTCCATATGCAGTACAAAAAAATTATTCAATTCAGAAAAGAATTAAGTATGCACACCTGAACTTATATAGTTTTACTATGTCTGTTCTTAATCGATATTGTGATATTTATGAGTTAAATACATACTGCCATTACAAACGTATTGAACAATATTTAAAAAGAAAGTGTTAAAATTTAATAATAGTTGAGACACAGGTAATATCCTTCAGGAAGCAGGAAATTTTCTCTCTAAATTAACAGGTTTAGAGAAAATATTTTAACTTGTCTTTTTTCAGAAGCCAACTTCTGAGAGCCAACTTACAACTATGCTGTAAACTTAATAAAATAAATGTGTTACAGTTATAGAAGGAATTCAACTAATACTTCTAAATATGAGAAAAATCTCAATTTCGATTCCTTCCGGGTAAGTAACTACACTGAACAAGGCTCAAACTGTTAGTCCAAGAAAACATACCTCTGGGTAACCTAAAGCTAAACGCTAACGCTAACCTAAAGCGTTAAAGTCAGTCTGGGTCTTTCTATTAAAATTATAAACTGCTTTGGATAAGACCCTTTAAGTTTACAACGATGAAAGCTTTCCACGTTCATTTCATTGTTTATGAAAATAAATGTTCCAGATATTGCATTAAAAATAAAAACACAACTTACTTTGTCAGATGCTTCTGAAGCTAAAAGGTTAGTGGCAAGAGTCTGTAGTTTCTGATGGGCCACGTTTTTCAGGGCAGCAAGACTACGTCTTGTCATGGCCTGCTTCAGGTTGACGGCCGGATGACTGAGGGAGTCTACAGCAGCTGGAACTGCCTCATCACAAGCGCTCAAGATTTCAACGGCTGTTATTCCCATCACACACCTGTCCAGCGCACCTTTGCATATTTTGAAAAGCATTAGCTTAGCAGAAACAATTCAGAAAAGTCCAAAACATCACAAGTACCGTGTGTGAAAATAACTTACACCATAGGATGCTATGCCTAAAACTTCTGGTTGTGTATAAGCTATTTTTAGAACTCATATTCCTAACGGGATTTTTTTCCCCTAAACATTTTCCCCTAAACATTCCCCTGACATTTTTAGTAAAAGGATATTTTCAATCATTTCAAATTCCTTCTCCCACCCAGCTACCTGTGTGGCTTACACTGTCTATGATGGTTATCAGGTTTTTTTTTTTTTTCCTTCCTAGAACTTTGATAACAACAACAAAATTCTCATCTAGTTTTCATAATAAGCTGAAAAGAATATTCAGACATCATTACATGTTTGGGTTTTTTTTCTTAACTCAATTATAATTGAGTTAGAAGGTAGGCAGCTACTTACAGTATATATTTTGATGCATTATTCCTTGTCTTCTCCCTTTCAAATACCACAAACACAAATTTCTACAACATAGCTGCTATTATTTTATGCCCTTGTTACCCATTCTGTTCAGGAAACTAAGAACAAGCCTTAAGTCTTTTAAAATACTTCAAAACTAAAATTTTAACCATTAACCTTTTTTTTTTTTTTAAATTTATGATTATTCTTCACGCTGCAAACTCTTTCAGGTTTAAGATGATGCATTTCTACACTAAGCTTCAAGTAACTTGCACAAACACTAATAAATTTAGGGGACGTTATGTGCTGCCAATGTGAGCATTTCCACTGTTCTCTGTAAAGATAATTAGGAAATCACATAGGGGGAAAAAGCCAGAGTGAGCTATACTTCTCCAGAACTAAATGAGTTCTTCAAAATACTGAAATATGTATGCTTAAATAATCTGTAAATTTAGGAAAGATTTGGAGAGCGAAATCTTTAAATATAAACGTGTGAAAAAATTTAACTCATCTCCCTGAGATGCAACTTAGAGAACTATTAGCAAATATAATTTTTTCTTTTTCAGAAGTCACTATCTTTGCATTAAACCTTACCAGTATCCATTTGCCAGACATACACAGATCCATCCGAACACCCCACCACCAGATAGTCATCTGAAGGCCTCCATTTTATTACTTGGATAGGAAAAAGGTGACGGGATGCCAGCATGATACATTTTTTCTCCCGCAAACTCAGAAGACCTACTGAGTGATCACTGGCAACAGAGCAAATACAGTGCTGGACTCTTGCCTTAGGAAAAAACAAACAAACAAAAAAGAGAATTATTTTGATCATAATAAAATTAGTTTTCATTTGATAAAATACTCTTCATCAGACTGGCGATAAACAACCTATTTTATAAGCAAAACGCACGGACATCAGCCTATGACAAAGTTGCTATTGACTTCACCAGAACCAGAATTTCACCCACAGAATCCAACCACTTGCACATCGCAGAGCAAATGGGTATGAGAACATCTTGCCTTCTCAACATGACCAAGTGATATGGCTACCTCAGACAAAAAAACCAATAACAGTATTTCATATTTATTATGGCAGTCCCATACTGATACATTTCTTTGATCTTATACAGCAACTATGAAGAACATCTTTCAATTTTTCCACAAAAAAGAAAATAAAATTGCTCCACCCTCTACATGCTTTTCAAGTATTTGAAATTTGAAAGGATCAAAACAGTCATAAAAATAATAAAATAAATTATTTGACAAACAGATTCAGTCAGCTGATAAAACAGTTCACCTTCAAATAAAATACAGAATACTTGACTCCGTCACTTTTATTCAAATTTTTATGCTACAGGCAGAAGTGCTTTAGCCATCACACCGACGTGCGTTACTTCGTAAAACGAAGAAAAAAAACGAAAGGTCAAGTATTTTGACTTATAACAAAGAAAATATATTGCCCTGCACACACACTTGAAAGAACTACTCTTTAAGTAGTTTTAAATCTTATATATTTATTTTTTCCAGCTTCTCCGAGACTTTATTTGACTGTAGACTAATAGTTAGATGTTTTTATTTTAAAAAGTGTACATCTACCTTTAGCTTAGTTCAACTTAGTTCTTGTTCTTCGCAGTTCTTAGTTCTAACTCTCTAGTCTTTTTTAGAGTTGAGACCCAGGGAGGAAAAGAGCATACCAGTAGAGCTAAGTAGTGCAGAGATAAAGCAAATGGGCTCGAGGAACAGAAGAAGTAAGAAAATGAGGATAACTAAGCAGAAAAATGTTGTTCAAGAAGAATAACGGAAGACAAAAGGAAATAAAGGGCAAGGAAATTCTGATAAGCAAAAGAGAGAAACCAGGATTTTCTTTCAAACAAGTTAATGGCAATTCGCTCATAAAACTCTTCCTATTCACTCAAATTATGAAAAATAAAATGTGACAACCGCTGTGGATGTTTCCCTGTCACATTCCCAAGCAGCTTCAGGGCCAAGACTTTGCTTCCACGGGGTAAAAACCTCCCACTGTTAATGCTGTATATCACGCAATGCCAACCATTTCTTTACCTATGTTTTAATATCCAGTTTTTCCACTACTTTTAGTCCTCTACCTAGATAGATCATGATGTTAAAAAAAAAATGAAATTAACAGAGCAATTAAACTCTTTTTAAATATCTGCAAGAGTTATACTTTGGCTCAATTCTAAACCTGCAGTATTTTTATTACATTCACATTCTCGAGAAGGATTCAGACTTACACTACAGTTTTCTGGTGGAACTAGAAGCTGTGTAATTTCTCCACCATGTACACAGAAGATATGTTTCATCTCTCCAGAAAATATATCCCATATGATGACTGAGAAATCCACACCACCTGAGATCAAATACCTTTGATCATAACGAGAAGAAACCTGATGAGGATAGAGTAAACATGTAATTTTGTTTCGATGGCCTCGGAGAGTCCGGTGAGGTGGCCAACCTGAGAAATTTAGAGGTGGGGGGGAAGAGAGAAAAATTCATTAGAACAGTTTCCAATACAGGATACTAAGAAGCAGTCTGCTCTCGATTAAAAAGATAGAGGCATGTTGCAGTTTGTCCTGAGCTCTTTAGAATTTTTATGAGGTTAAGAGTCACCAGCAGAGAACTGCAGAATAACGTAACTGACTTTGAGGAAACTGAACTTTGCATAAAAATTCACTGATGTTTGAAATTATATACAGTAAATCAATTAAAAACAGAAAATATTATAACTGGGAGCCTTATATATCCACTTAAGAGAAGAATATTTAAGTATCTTTTTCATTTACCAGCATATGTAAAAATTTGAGACAAACACATTTGTTCTGAAACACCAAGATAAAAACATTAGGACAAAATTATCTGGAACCAGAATGTACAGCAGCAGGCCAATGTATAACATACTTTAACTACGTGATACACAAGGAGGAATTCTCTTTTAAATGCATTACTTTCCCAAGGAGAGCTTCAAAGGCACACTACTACTCTAGCTGAACGTGCGGCCCAGACAATTCTGGGTAGAAGAGAGACGATCTCCCCCACTGTAATGTTGCTACTGCATCTCAGAAAGAATCCAGGAGAAACACCTGAACCTTTCCAGTGAAGGGACATCCCAGAAAACTGACGCAAGCTGGCCACACTTAATTTTTCACTTAAGTTTCTCATTACATAATAGAACAGAGACCTTGTTAAGAATACGGTTATATGATTTCTCCACTTTCTCCTCTCCCCCCACTTTTTAAACCATATTTATAAAACAACTGAATGCTCACTTCTTGAAACTATTTCTCATTTCAGTGTATCTAGTAAGAAATCAGCACGTTCGGTAATCCAACTGTGCTTTTCTAAAACTTATTTCCATACCTCTCCTAAGCATATGCTCTCCTTGCAGAAGCTGAACTATAGCAGTTTGCGTTGCTGGCACAATAACGATGCTTCCATCTTCACGACCACAAACCAGACGCCCATGCGCTGGGATATATACACTCGCTGTCACTTTAAGCGGTTCATTGATGTTTGGTATTAAGCTTAATTGGTCTATAATTCCAGCAGGGTGAGGGGTAAGTTTATTAAAAGCTTCCTGTAGGGATACTGAGGTGGTTGCTTGTAGTCCTGTTCAAAAGGAGAAAAAGAGTTTAAAAAAAGGGAATGAAATGCAAAGATTTTCTGAGAAGATGTCAAGGCCTGCTTTTAAATACACTATGTTACAACGGTTCGAACCAAGTACAATACATATGCTGGAAATTAATTCACCAGCTACATGAGCGCTGTTACTGCAACACATGGAAACAATGAACACTTGTGAGAGAACTGAAAAAGTACATGATTTAAGCTACAAGAGGAAGCTACATACAGAGATGGCAATGATCAGAGCTGGTATTCGGAAAGTAAAACAGGTAAAAATTTAACTCCTGCAAAGTACTCATAGTAAATTAAGATTTTGATGATATATTTAAAACTTAAATTACTATAACTCTTACAATAAGCTAATAATTTAAAACAAAAACAAAAAACTATTCAAGCAACACAGATTTCATTTGAAACTTCAGTAGTTCACATCAAAAAAATCTGAACAGGAGGAAAAAATGGTTGGTAACCTGAAATTAAAAGGTTGCTGAGGGACTGCCCAAGTGTTGGAAACAAAGCTGGATCTACTGCAAAAACAACCCAACAAGCTTCCTTCATTTCTGTTTATTCAAGTATTTCCAAGACTTTTCTAACCTACTCCTCCATACACTCCACCTTTCTCAACGTGCATCTTGACACAGAAGTGAGTTAAGCAAATGCAGTATAAAAATTATATATACACTTATATGTCCAAGCAACTATGAAAATATGTCGTGTAAGGCTCAGGGAAACATGATTGATGCATTTGTAAGAAAAGTAACAGTATTTCAGCCAGCTACAGAAATCACATAACAAGAATTTAGACAGACATGTCCATTAAAAGGTTCTTGGCAGCAAGATCGTTAACTAAGTATACCTTCTGCACTGTCCTGTTGTTCAAATGTATCAGGCACACTCCAAATACACAGTCTCCCTGAAGAGTCTCCTTGGATTAAGAGTTTATTGCAAAACTCTCTACGTCCATAGAAGAATCGAGTAACTGGGGGACATATTAGTAACTGTTAAAATAATAATAATAATAAATTAGAACAACTTCAGGCACATGTAAATCATGTACTAACCTCAAAATTCACTTTCCACAAAATCCACTGTACCTTTTAAGATCAAAATGGGAACTAGCCACTCTAGACTTTAGCCTTTCCATAGGAGAAAGGATAAATATAGTAATATGAACCAGCAGAAACTGTGATTAGTTACAAAATATGTCACAGACTTAGGGGAAGAGGGAAATTTTAAAACTGTTTACATGCATATAAAATATAAAGTTGTTGATGTTTTAACAATAAGTTTAAGATACACCACTCAGTGAAAAAGTTCAAAAACAGAAACAAAACATGTTACGAATTGATCGACAACACAAAGTTTAAAAAAACAATTAAACAAAAAAGTATAAGAGTATCAATGTCCAAATTTGGCAACAAATTAAATGGTTAATATTTTTAAAAATCCCTATAATAGTCTTGTAATAACAGTATTTGTAAGTTAGACTTACTAATAGTACTGTACGTTACTAGATGTAATTACACAACAGCCTCAAGCTGTATTAGTTTATAGCACATACAGTTTACTGTACAACATAAGAATGAATCCTAATTCGAAGAGGATTTGGGCCAGAAAAATGGGATCTTACTTCCTTTGCAAAAATTTAGGCATTCAAAACCTAAGCTGTGATAGTAAAAATACTTCTTCAGTGATTGCCTAACCATTAGGCACATCACAGCTTGAGTTGTAATTCTCCAGGCACTGATGCGCGGTAAGCTGTTAGTACAAAAGAACTGAAGATTCACTGGACCAGAGACTAATCACAATACTTATATGACAATAAAAAAAAACAAACCACAAAAAAAACAGAAGGTGTATTATATCAGTTACTCTCCTAAACATCTACTTTTACTGGAACAAGAAACAACCCTAAATGTCTACTTTGAAGGAGAAGAGGTCACTTGCTATGCTAAGTGAGTTTCAAGTCTTTAGAAAAAGAAATGCAGTACACAAGACAGTACAGATAAGAAAATCCAAAGGAAATATCTTTTACCTGTTTATCCGCTCTGTCCAATACACTGTACAATAAAGGTGGAATTAAATTTTCTACTGCTTTTCCCACACCACTGCGAAATGAATCACTAGCTGGTAGACAACTGGGTTTGCAAACAAAAAAAAAGGAATAAAATTCCCTAAATTAGTAGAAAGGGATTACTGTATCACCAGATAAAGAATATGTTAGATTCTTTTTACTTTCAAAAGAAAAAACAACCCCCTAAGCCTCTAACTATTACTTTTTTAATTGTTAATACAGTGTATAGCAGATCATTACAATAACTTTAATGTCCTCAGTCAATAAATGTTCCAAATAAATAAAAATTGTTCCAAATGTTTTCAGCTCAGTCCCCACACACATTCATAACTGAAGAAAAGGAAAGAAAGAAGGCTGGCTTTAGGGTCTACTCCAGAGTTCAACATATTTGGCTTCAGACAGATTCAGGAGCTAAATGCACCAAACCCAAAGGATATGAGATGGGAAAGAAATTTTCTCATCTGATTTATCACAGAAGGTTCAGGGATCTCTCGGAGAAAACTAGTACCTTCACCCAGAACAAAGCAGCACGTGCACAATAAGAAGTAAAAAATGTCAAAAGAGAGCCATAAAAGTTCCTTTATTTTAATTTTGTCTTTCTAAATCTGCTTAACCCCTGCAACAACTAATTTTAATTTAACTTTATATTTTTATATTTATGTCCACAAAACAACTGTTCACCCCACAGAGCCCTTAAAAGGCTTGGAGAGTACACACCTATAATACTATCATTTACATTCTGCTTCATATAGCCAAATTCTATTTCTTCCTTATGGAAGAAGGTTTTAGGAAATATTTAAAACATACATTTGATTTCAATTTGTTTATGACACTTATTCAACAGCAAAATGCAACCCTTCCCATCACACATTCTCCAACAGCTACCATTATGAAGTGAAAGAGAGTTACAGTAGCATCAGAAAATAGCGAGACAATCTTTGATTTTAAATTACTGAGCATTACCTCTATGCGATACATTCTGGGGACACACACTTTAAAATATGCTCATGGAGTATTAGTTTCTACAACTTTCATATAATTTTGTAAAGAAATACAAGCCAAAAATACTAAGTGTTTATTCAAAGCTTCTCTTTTTTTATCTCAACAAATAAAGAAGTAGACAGTGTTTCCTTTCTGAGTACCTGGCTGGTAATTTGTATATAAAACTTTGCCCATCTTCTGTCCATACAATCACTTTATCAGCTGACACAAAGTCACCGCCAGTCCAGGTCTGTTCATTCTCGCTAGGGACTGAACATAAGAGGGAATAATCTCCAGCATCAAAAACCTGCAAAGAAATAGAAAAGTCTATCATTAACCAACTACAGATTAAAACGCCCAGATAGCAGCTAATTTCAGTATTTCAGCACAGACATATTAAATTGTCTTAGAACAATACTTACTTAGGATACAGAAAATTTATTAGAAAAAAAAAAAAATCTAACATCTACCTAATGACTACAGGACTATCCAAAATGTTATAAATATGGCAGGATGTTACATTATATCACATATTTTGTCTAGGTAAAAGTAATAGGCCTTGTTTTATTAAAATAAAGCAATATATTCCCCACACTGCAAGACAATATACTTTTAAGGGATTACACTCAATGAACTCTAGAGTTTGAATTTATAAAAAGAATAAACCTTTTGGTCTAAATGCCTTACTGGCGTTTATCTATAGTGAAAAAAGCCAGCTTTCGTTCAACTGGCTTTCCTTACCCTCCAGTATTTGGAGCACACTACCAACAATGACCGTTGGGTAAATGCACAGAAAGAAATGCTTTGGCAGTTTTGACAATAAATAGGTTTAGACTCCTCTTCAAATACTGGCGTAGTATCCTAAAAAAAAAAAAGAAAAGTTACATTAAATTAATTGTATTCTATTTAAAAATATGAATTGGAAATTAAATAGAGCTATATTAGCTTCTGTCATAACAACAGTACCTTCAAAGAAGGACATTTCCTGACAGTTAAAATTTTGCTCAAATCAAAAATGTTTCTATAAATCCTAACTGAAACAAACACTCATGTTTTATTTTGATACCCTCATGGGTATATCATCTGTTGAATATCAATCTTCCTGTGATGAAGAGTCAAGTCTGCAGACTCTGTCACAGGTGCAAAGGTAGCATTACACAGAAAAACACAACCAAAGCAGCAATACGTAAAAAATTCCCTTGGAGAGACAGACAAAAAAAAAAAAAAAAAAGACATCAACTGGAATAAAGATGCCATTTTTTTAATCTAAAGATTCCTTTATAGCCGTAATTAGGTGCAAATAGCATCCAGCACATCAGCAGAGTTGGAAAGATGAGAACTGCTGAATATGCAAGCCCCTGTTTCCTCCCCAACTCATTTCCACTAGCTCACGTCTCAGTTTTCTGCAGCAGTCTCACCCTTGGCTAGAGGTTAAAATTCAGCCACTGCTGACCACGTTCTTCCAAGATTCAGCCTAGCGCTACCAAATAGCACGGCACCTTACCCACTGGGCACTGCACCCTTTACTGAGCTAAGGGCGTTATGCTGGTCTGCTGCGTTGATGCTGTACCTTGGCCAACAAGGACAATTCCTCTGGAATCCCGCCAGCTCCACCTCCAAGCAAAACCCTCCCTTTTGATTGCACTGAGGGTGCTTACTGCTAACCTGGCCAGATCCAGAAAACACATGAACTAGGCTCCCACGTCAATCCTCACTTGCAAACTCTCCTGACTGTCCATCTTCACTCTGACCCCGAAGGATAGCGGTGACTTGGCTGCTCCACATCTTTTCCTGATTTCCTTTTTCAGGAAAACCAGAGCTGAAACAACCAGAAGACTACAGACTGAATGCTTTGCTGGCCTCTAACCAGGAGATGTATATGGCAACCTGTCTGTGCAATTCCACTCACTTTATGAAAATGGAGAACCTTACGAAACTAGCTAAAAACCAAACCCTATTAATTAAGACAGGGTAGAGGAAAACAGCTCAGCCAAGCAATTATGGCAGAAGCAGGGACTCAGCTGTCCCAGGTGCAGCTCCTTGCTCTCTTACAGATCTCTCGCACAAGACAGAATTTTCCTGGGATATTTTTTCCTCACCTTCAAAGTGGGAAACAAACGTTCTGCCCAACACACATTTATACACAGAAACCAGTTAAGTGCTCAGAGAGTATGACAAAAGTATTTAAAACTGACAGTCTCTACACACACGCACAAAATCAGATAATAAGAGAAAACCCAAGTGAATCTTTTTTTGCTCAAACTCAATTTAGGAAGATGACAGAGAACATGCAACAGAAAAGGGACTCCTCTGAGTTTCATAAGATGACAGATGGCCAACTTCTACGGAAAAACCAAACACTTGTAGCCGTTCTTATTCTATCATTCTTCATAAGAAGATCTGCAAGAGCATGTGGTATCTTGTCTTGCCTAACAAATTCCCCAGCTTCTCCGGAGAGATTAGCAGTGCCTGTTTGGTATTGTCACCCTCAGTGAATTACCCTGCTTGCAGAGAGTCAGCTGAAACTAAGTAGATTCAGCTCTGACTTCCTTCTTTCAGGGTTCCCAATATCCTACACAGACTATGACAAAACCCCTGTTCAGTTATGTCTTTGTGTTTCTCATTTTCAGAAAAGCCAATACTCTCTATTGCTAACACCTTTATGTTTAATGTAACTTTTAAATGTGATATTAGGTAGAATAGTAGTAGTTGCATGACAAGGGTTTCCAGAAAGAGCTCTGAAGTGATCAGAAATCATATAATTTCAACTAGGTTGAAACTGTGAAACAAAAAAATTGAATAACGACTTCGAGGTACCCTTATAGGATCAAAAGCAAGGAATTCCATTATATTGGTCTTCCCAGCTAATTCAAAATATGTTGCTTTTGTGCTATAAACATTTCTGAAATCAGAAAACTGAATTTGTTTTTCTATATATAATAAAATTATATTTTCATAGCTGCTAACCATCTGCAAAAGTATCCAAGTAATATACATTTCTTATAGGAAGTTTCTGTGAATGGTTAATTTGTAAGACGTTTATGAGAAGTATGGCAAATCTCCTATAGGACCTTCTATCGATTAGTACACAGGAAGGCAAAAATTGCCAAATAAGACTTAGCTGTAGATAACATTAATAATGAAAATTCCTAAAAATTGTATTCTTTGCTCTGCAAGCCCTTCAAACACCTCTACTTCTCACTTTTTCTTTACTTTTCTCAAAGAAAATAGGAATTTCTTTTTAAAAAATGATATAATAATTACCTACAATAATAACATAATAAAACTACAATAAAAAATTAAAAATTGAGTACAGATATCTTTAAGAACATAAAAAAATGAAGTACTGTGATAAAGTCGCATTGTGACTTTTATAATTTCACCATCATATTAAAAGACACACAGCTCCTGTGCAATACAGGGTAAGTTTCAACTTTGCAATCTATTTCTTCTATACAAAGTAAACAACTACTTATTAATATCATCTGTTTTGACTAAAGGGTACTGGGACTGCAAGCTCTTTAACATACAAATTCTGTCTGTATCACATGAAGCTATACATATAGTATAGTATCCATCTCAGTTTGGAATGCCAAATGTTATTGTAACAACCTTTTGTTACTAAATTCCCTTTGGAAGTCAAAAATACTGTGAAATGGACAAGATGACTTAAGAAAAGAATAGGACTTAAAGAGGGGAAAAATAAAAGTCACTAGACAAAAATATTGGAATCTAACTAACATAATTAATGGTACAAATAAAGATGTCTAGGAATCAGAGATTAGAGATTCTTAACTTTAAATTAGATGTTCTTAACTTTGAAGTCAGCTCTGTGAGTGTCAGGCGTAAGACAAAGAAAAGCATCTTCGTCAAGAATTCTGTCAGTAGTCTGAAGAATCAGTTAAGCAAGATTAATGAAGTTCATTTTTGGAGGGTAAAAGAAAAAAATCATAACATTACTAGGCAGATGGAAGAACAGGAAAAAGGACTAAGAGAGTCTCTCTCCATCACAACAAGACTTCAGAAAAATTTATGCGAGTTAACAGTTGATATTGGGGTGCCCAGCAAATATCACCAGTACAGAAGTCTTTGTTTACCTGCATGCGACTAACTTCAGAGGTTATTATCCATACTTTCAAAATGCCAGTCACCGAAACAGCGACAACAGTATCCTCTGGAGAAAAATAAATACAAAAAGTTAAATGGATAAATACAAGAACCTTTCCATTTCGTTGCACATTTGTGCATGTGCGACTACAAAAATACATGAGAATAACTCAGTATTAAAGTTCATCAAAACATAACCAAACGTTAATTAGTGAACTGGTATATTGAAAATAAGTACACACGTGCACACACGCGCACAGAGATTCGCTGGTTTTATGTTTAGAGGCTCTTTGCCATCACGAGAGGGGGCAAGTTCTCTAAATTAATAATTAAGGCTCCAGTTGAAAGGGGCGGGGGCGTGCAAGGGTAGTCCCACTTGTTTTAGGTTGGAGGTTCCCAGGGAGCTTCTTTCACAATTATTAGATTCATTACCTTCAGGAAAGGAGCACGTTTTGCGCTAGTCAAACTTTCTAGAGGTTCCTGTTTATACCAGAGGAGTCCAGTGTTAAGACAGAAAGTCCATTAAGCCAAGGTACACCTTCTTGATTATAAAATATGAAAACAACTACAAAATAAAATGAAACCCCTGGTCCAGTATCTGAAAAGACTTAACATCATAGTTCATTTGCAATTACTCCAGTAACTTGGATGGTTTTAGGGGTCAGCAATGGAGTTTTCCCACGCCGGGGCTTTGGGAACACTCTCAGTTACAAACTGCTCTCAGCCTCAAATCCAGCCAAAAATCTCTCCTCTCTTCAGACCGCTCTAACTCTTCTCAGTGTTTCTTTTTTTTTTCCCCCTCCATAGGAGCCCATCTTCAGGAAGCAAGTTTGCTGACCTGCGTTCAGCAGCAGATTTAGTTAAATAAACTGAAACAGGAATCCCCAAGACTTTCACTCAACTCTCCCTAGGAGTGGAGTTACAGCCTCCAGAACAGCAACAGCTGAATGAGTCATTTCTGCTCCTCAGCTGCCAGAACTTAAAAGCCCAGCAAAGCAATACAAACCAGCCCAGGGCAAAACAGGTACATGTGGACGAGTATCACTTCAAATCATGTCAACTAACCCGCTTCCAAACATGGAGACTACCCGCATACATCTCCACTAAACTGACTGTCATCATGTTTACAGAAAGTTCTACAGTCTTCAGGTTTCTTTCCTCTTCTCCAGCAATGGTTACAATATTGTAATATTTCCGCCAGCTTCTTGGACATATAATCCTATTGTGCACTTCAATCAACAAATTCCTTACATATTTCCTACAATAGCTTTCAAAGTGTTACAACAGTGCTTTTTATAAAGTCACTAATCAACAAAGCCACTAAATGATCTTGATGCGTACTACGCATCACATTAATAAAGAAAACAGCCTCAACGTTTAGAGTCCTCGTAGCCTTTCCTGCAGTCTTGTGTCACTTAGAGGCTCTTCCTAGGTTCTTCCTAGCGTTCTCCCAAACTCTTTCTGAATTCTCAAAGAGAAAACAAGGTATCACCTTGTTCTCCAGGTTTCGACACGTGCATACATTGAAGGAGATAACAAAACTATTCACTGTCTACTAAGTGTACTGGAACCTGTTGTGCACACGCACATACACACTGAATTTGGCTAGAACTGAGGTTCCGTTCACGAGAAAGCATTTAAATATAACCAGAGCTAAAACTCTCATCTGGTGGAACAGCAACAGAGACAATACTAAAAATATTAAAGATTATCAGGTCTTCTCTCTGAGCAAATATTAAAGCAGTCTCAGAATCACAGAGCAGTTGAGGCTGGCAGGGAGCCCTGGAGATCCTCTGGTCCAGCCCCTGCTCCAGCAGGGTCAGCCAGAGCAGCTTGGCCAGGACTGCGTCCAGGCAGGTTTGAGTATCTCCAAGGATGGAGGCTCCACAGCCTCTTTGGGCAACCTGCTCCAGTGTTCAACCATCCGCTCAGTAAAAAAAGCGTTTCTTGTGTTTAATTTGATTTTTTCGTGTTTCAGTTTGTGCTCATTGCCTTTCATTCTGCCTCCGGGCACCACTGAGAGGCCCCATCCTCTTCACATCCTCCCATGAGATATTTATAAACATTGATAAGATCTCCTCCCCTGAGCCTTGTTTTCCAGGCTAAACAATACAATACTAGCACTCTCCACCTCTCCTTGTATGGGAGATGCTCCAGTCCCCTTTTCAGGGACTGGATATAAATATGTATACATTGCTTTTAAAAAGGTTAGTGCTTGATGGGTCTTGGAAAAGACCATCTTCATTACTCACATGGGAGAAAGAGGCAAGAAGTAACATTCTAGTATTTTCAGCAACCTGGGGAGAAACTATTTCTCTTACAAGGAGGCAAAGTCATAATAAAAGCAACAAAAATAATTACCTTGTGTTCTATTGGATCGAATGATACTCATGGAGCTGATCCAGTCAGGAGATATCTTTGATAATAAAGAGTAAAGAACTTCAAGGCTGGTAGCATCCACGACAAGAATTTCTGGATAATGTCCGTGGCATAATAGTCTCCCTTCACGCTGAGTCCCAACAGTGAACTGGTAGAACTAAATGGATATTAACAAAACACAGAGGTTATACTCCATGTGAGGCACCAAGTACTTCATTTTTAATCAAAATCATAATTTCATAAATATAGTCTAACGGCTATCTGTTTAAAAAAATGCCAACGAGAACCGAAGGGAATTTTGTGTATGCAAGTAATACGAAGGAAGCTTTTTGCAGAGGCCCTCCTTTCTCTTAGCATCTTCTCAAGGCCATCCTTTGCCTCCATGCCCACCTCCTGCAGCTGACAGAAAGCCATCTCAACCTTCTCTGCTAAGATCATCCTCACCCTCCTACCTCCCCTTATCAGTACTCCTCCTAACACCTCCTCCTTTTTCCTCTATTTTCTCCAGCCTTTCTGATAAATTAATTATGGTATATCTTTTTCAAAAGCTGAAGTAAAGCACGTTTCCAGCTCTAGGGCATTTGATGACGCAGAATACAGCATAAGCTATATCGGCATACTGCGGTATCTTATAAAATATCATTGTTAAGCTTCCAAAAAAACCTAGCCTTGTTTCAATAACAGAGCTACAGTTTCCATGCTACAGTAGGACTTCTCAAGCATACACAAAGCACGAACCTGTATGCCAGTGTGTGCACAGGCTAATTTAGTAAACTCTATGCATCTCCCATCATTCACATCCCACAGGCACATCTCCCTAAAATACAAAAGACAAATTACAACCACATCCAAAATATTTCATTTTTCAAGGATTTAGAAATCATTTATATTGGGAGAAGCTTAAACAATTGTTAGTGACCAAATAAGCAGCATTTTTACAAAGGAAACTCAAAATTTACTTGAATTTCCAGTCCTTCCATCGTAACCCATACAAACTCTGCTTCCCCAGTACAGTTGCGAGGGGAAATGAGTAAAATGCCATGGTTCATCACGAACGACCAATACTAAGCAAACGCAATTGTGTAACTTAGAACTCCTGACTGCTCTCAAAAATACTTCAGATTATTATATACTTCTAGTGCCTCTCCTGAGGTGTTCAAAGATGAGCTTACTTTTTCCATATTTGTAAGGAATAAAATCTTATTACCAAAAACAGTATTTTAATCACATGGCAGTGAACACTGAGGTTTATTTCAGAGGTTCAGGAATCATTTCCTGCCAGCCAGATATATCACGACCTTAAGCTTGCTTCTACTCAAGAAGCAGATCTTGGATACGCAGAGGAGAGGAACAAAGCATAGGTGTCCATCCACAACTGAACTTACAAAGCTGCTCAAGTGAAAGGATGACAGAAGTATCTAGACTGCAGTTGACAACATCATACATTTCCTTAGCCATCCAAAGATAAAGTTATATCCAAGGCAGCAAAGATTACTTTACATACAACTGTCCTGTGTCCTGCCACTGCATCGTAAGTTAAAACAAATAACATAGGCAAGCCTTCAAGATCTCAGGCACACCTCTATCCTCCTTCAGACCAGGAATCTAAAATTCACACCACATTGAGTATTTACCTTGGAGAGGTCCCATCATTTGGGATGGCAATGAATGAGTTAGACATTAGTCTAAGTAAAAAATAGCGTGGATGAGAAACTCAGAGTGAAAAGAAGTAGATGTAAGCAACCCAATCTCTCCTCTACCCTCATCTTCCATTATTTAACAGATCTGCATATTAATAAATCTTCAGAAAACTCACCCGCTTTCTGATGCACTCACTATATACTGCTTCTCACTGGAAGCAGAGGCCTTTGATAAACAAGTAATTGAGGCTGTATGACCAAACAACAGAGCTCTGGGATTAATCTAGAATCAGAGAGATAAAACATAAAGCAAAAATAACATCGGCACTATTACTTACCTAGAACATACACATTCCAAATTTCTGTTTTACACAATATTTATATATTGTATATATAAATGTGTTTATGTATATATATATATATACACACACACACACACGCTTTATTATCACAGCTGTAGAAATAGCATCTTAAAACAGTTTGCACAGCATGGTGGTACAATATGTGAAAGAACCAGTTTCTAACTAATACTGTAATGCCAATTTGTGAAAAAAAATGCTTTTTGTGTAAAACTAATTCCATCTATAATTTTAAAATCATAGTGTGAATTTGGCCTCAGTCAAAAGGAGAATTTGACCTATACTGCAATAACAGATCAGATCAAGTATACTTCATGACCCTTTGCATTTATAAATAATTTTATATAAGAGTCCATTCACAGACTATACTCCATTCACAGATTAAGGATAAAAAAGAAAATCACCCTTTGTGTGCCATTTCTAGAAAGAAACGGTCCCTTTCTCCAGTTGTTTCTTGTTAAAGGTATTAGACACTAACATAACTTATGCGGGTAACTCGGAGATTGAGATTTTTCAGTATAACCCTTGCCTGAAACATGCTTGATTTTATAAGAAAGGATTGTTTTTCTCCTCCATTCCAAGGATTTAAAACTATTTGCATCCAACCAAATTACTACTTCACCTGTAAGACGGACACTTGCAGATTTCAACTCAAGGGCAAAAACTAATACATAATAATAATTAATTAGTAATCCTTAGCTCTGCTACAATCGGTTTTCACAGAAAACGGAGCTTGAATAGAAGAATAACCTTAAAAAGCCCTCTAAATACAGGCATCTGATCTCAGAAATCTGTTTTCTCAAAATACTAAGCCGCTAAATCTGAAGGTAACTATCAGTTTAGGGTAGCCCCAATGTCCAGAAAAGAAGAAATAATTACTTCAAAAATTTCCTAGTGCAGCAGCAAAGTTAAAGAGTGAAAACTCCTCTTTCTAATCAGAACTATTCACTACTAGAAGCACACCGGGTCACCTCCAGGCGTCATTTTAAGAGAGGGAGGTAGAATACATGAATAGAGCGTAGAAACAACTGAACACTGCAACATATCCTGCCATACTGAAGAATAAAAATCACTTTAGGAACAATGGTTAAAAACTTTAAATACGAAGAAAATTAAAGTTACACACGGAGTTTAGACTTACCTCTAAATCTAAAGAGAGGTCCCAGAGACATATTTGTCCATCATGACAGCCTGTGACAATCATTGACACGTCGTCCATTAACAGCAACGTTGATATGCAGTGGGTGGGAGCTTTACGGCCCCAAAGAACAATGGGTAGAACAAGGCTATTTCCAGCCATTTTGCTTTCACACCTGTCAATTTAATCAAGATAATAAACATTAGGTCTCAGCAGATATGCCTTTTCCATGCTTATCGCCGTCTCATCCTCACAAGACCTTGAAACAGTAGTCTGAAGTGACTGTAAATATTTTATACGTAAGGAACAGTCACTATATACGCCATTCTTTAAATAAAGTACAATATATAATCAACTCTTCTCTCCTTGGGGAATATGTGCATCTTCATAGCTAACATAGGTATCAAATAATATATTCTTTAAGCAGCCATTTGAAAAATGCGATGAACAGTGATAGTAGAAAAACTTCAAAACGTTGGTTTCTCATGCATTTTGCAAGAGATGGGGCATTTCAAGGTGACATCTCCCTACTTACATAGGCACTTTTTCCAGTATTGACCTTCTTAAAATAATTCTGGAGCGAATGCTTCCAGTCCCAGGGTTGTAACAGCTAGTATACGCCCAGTCAGTAGAACCCACCCCCATTTGTCAAGTGTGATGACCCTTAGTCACAAGTAGGGTCTGGTGCTTTGTACACATCGCTAGGCACTTTCCAAACATATTTTTCAGTTAGAACAGTGTCACATCAACCTAACCTTTTCAAATGGGTATCTATGTTCAAACGCGTAACGCGCTGTATTAGTTGAAATGTTTTTGAGCTCCAACTTCAAGGTTATTGCAATCCCTTAATTAATTCTCCTTACCTGATTGTTTTTACCCTGTCACACACAGCTAAAGGGACTACCTAAACAAATAAACAAAAGGTAACTAAAAATAGAAATAGTCTAATTAAAAGTCATACGCTAGCTTCGGATTTTCTAGTTTCTGGTTTCTAAGCCTTGATGGTAAGCGTATTCAACCTTCCACTTCCCCAGTAATGGTGGCTAACGAGTTACTTCTAATTTCTTTTTCCTTTCAGCTAGACTATAGAACATGCAACAGCAGAGATGTGGTGGTAAGCAGGGCAGGGGAGGAAGGGGAATAAATAAAAATCATTGCTACCATTGTCAACATCGTAACTAAAGAAAGAGAGGACATCAGTAACTGCAGACCATCCCTCATGCTTCTCACTTCTTCAGCATTATCAACCACCATGAGCTAAATTCCAAAACAAAGCCGCACTGACTTAAAGATTGAGACTTTAAAGGTAGGAACTGAGTTATTTCAGTTTATTCCTTGCTTTACGGCACTTCAGGGTTCATGCTGTCAAGTTTTTTTCAATAAGGACGATACACTCGTGTAATCCAGTCACTTTGTGACAAATGTCCCCGTTCTTCCAAATATCTCCAGCTGTTCAAGGTAATCTCAAGAACTGGCAGCCCTGCCATAAGGAGCAAGCAGGAAGAGGCAACACAGCCTGACTTTTCAATGAAACCTGCGCCCCCCGGCACCCGCAGCAGCATATATTCCTTAGCTTGGGCCTAAGGAACAGCAAAGTAAGAGTTAACATCTACCTTATTATAAAAAAAATCAATGAATTTTTCTACTCATATTGTGTTTTTTATATATATACGGACATATATACACACACACATATATACATACATATAGAGAGAGAGATATATTGCATGCATCCTGGAGGAAAGGCTACTGAACTATCATAAACGACATATGAAGTTCCCCACTATTCCGTTATCAGGTGAATAAAACTTTTTGAATAAAAAACATAAAATTAATAGTTGCACCACAGCATGTTTCAACTCAGAAGAATAACTGCACTCGACAGAATTGCTGCACTGCGTGCGGTTTCACTCCCACGAGACTTTGCCCTCTCCTTCCCCCTCGAGCTTTCACAGCCCGCTGTGCCCGCAGCCATGCTGAGTCAAGCGACCCGCTGAGCTCTACTGCAGGCTCAACTCCAGCTCTCACTGAGGGTAGGAGTACTGCGCAGCTGCAATAATTTACAACTTTCGTAAAGTTCATCTACGGACTGAAAAAAAAAATTTTAATTAGGTAATTAAAGAGTCAAGTTGTATTCAGAAACGAAGCAATGACTAGCCAGCCACTCAAGACATTTCCTCAGCCTTCTGAGGAACTATACTAATGCTAAATGCGCTTATATGGTATCTGAAGGTAGTTCTGATCACCACGGCTGGCCATAAGGACCAGGCTCTGGCCACTCTCCAGCAAGCAACGTTAGGTAACGCTCTATCTCTGTGCCAATATTTAATAGCTTATACATATACTGACACAGATAACACGGACATTTTTTTATCTGTCACAAAGCCAAAATTTTCTTGGGAAATGGAGAACAAAAGTGTTTGACTCATAACTTCAGAGAAATAGAAAACACCACAGAAATTGAAATAATAAAAAACAATTACGAGGAACCGCACAAGGTTTAAACTGTGTTTTGTTTTTGCATTTATGTTAGCAATGTTCTGAGCTTACACATCATGTAAACGCGTTTAAAAGCTCCAGCCCTTGAATCAGCCAGCGGGAAAGGCTGTTTATGCCGAGCTCGTCAGTTTCGGTGGGCTCTCCGGGGGCGAGGGGCCGGCGGAAAGGGCAGCTCTCGCCACTGCCCATCTCCCCTTTGGCATGGGGCGTGTTTAAACCAACCACGCGCGACATCGTCTACGCAGAGGAAAAGGAAACTATAAAATACCAGATTTTCTTCTACCTCCCAGTAAGCCAAGACTGTTTCGGGTATGCTTTCTAGGTGTATTCTATATTTAACAAATAAAAATGCTAGAATTCAAGTTACATCCAGATCACACCAATGGTAAGTTTATAAATAAGCGACATATGTTAGATACTATTTTTTCATTGTTTCTTAGCAAGTAATAGCATCTGGAACGTAAGTGCAACCATCAAACAAAACATGTCAGGAGCGAGTGACGCTTTGTTACCGGCCTCCTATTTGAGATTCAAGAAGAGCTGCAGTAGTTGCTCTCCTAAGGCATAGTAAAAGCTTGAGTTACGGAAAGTTATTGCTTGGAGCATTTCATGATGAACAAATGGGGAACACTGCTTTGACAGATAAAGGAGATGCTCCTTATGTACTACCTTGTAGAAGTCCATGTCCTGAATTTACTGTAACTCAAACCAGAACAGAATTTCTGATTTACAGGAGTATAAACAACTCGGACACAGGCAGAAATCACTGGAAAAAAAACTTTAAAAATATATATTTCATATCTTTATAAAGACATTATTTTTCTTGCCTGTGTGACGTAGTAACATTTGCATTTGTCCACAGAGATGCAAACTTTTTTTAGAGCATTTCAAAAGCAGAAAAATATTCTCATCTATGAAAAAGGGAAAGGGGAGGGGGGGAAAAAAAGTCATCCTGAATCTAAGCCAGGTTTACTACAACTCGACTTCCCCCCAACGATAACCACAGCTGCCCCCGCGTGCAGCAGCCCCATCAGGCAACGTATGGTGACCAGAACCCAGCACAGCCGAGCTGACTGACCGGCCAGCTCCTGCCAAACAGTACATTACAAAATAACTCTGCTTGCCTTTTTTCCGGTGGAAGCACAAATTCAGAGCTTCAGCATTTCATGAAAGCTGTCGGAACTTAATTCAATAATCTTCAGCTCTACTGAAACTATTAATCAAGGTTTTAATGACCCCCTTTTCAGACAAACTCAAATTTGATATAAATAGAGGCAACTACATAGACCTTACTTGTACCAAGCCTGATTTTGACTTTTTGATCTTACATACCCCCATCATTCCCAGTGTTAACTTCTATACTTAAGTGCTTCTGCATCAAAAATCCCTTCTATTTCAAAATAAAAGTTTATTTTTTTACTCATATAATATAGGTTTTTTATGCTACACGGAGATCAACACAAGTTGTCATCCCTCATCTATACAGAAACAACAGTGCAATTTCTTCAAGAAAGTAATTTCACATTAGTTTTGGCAAACGCTGCCTATATTTCTAGCGCAAACAACCTCTGCGGCCAGAGAAATCAAACATGATAACGTACATGGAGAAATGGGGGAAGGGAAGACAGTGAACAATAGTATAATGAAAAGCTAAGTACTGGAAACCATAAAGTGAAAAAAAGCATGATTCTTGTAAAAGAGGTTACAGGACCTGCTGGATATACCAAGTCTCAAACTTCTGTAGTTTTTCACAAAATCCAAATCATGAAAACAATACTAACGCTTACTACAAAGTGCCATTTTACGTCAATTCAGTCTTGCATCTGATTACACTATGTTTATTAGGAACTATTTTACAAAGAGCTATTATTTAATAATAAAGCACAAGCAAAGACCCAAGATCAAGCATGTAATCTATTATAACATTCTACAAGCTACACTAAAATTAGTATTTTTAAAACATGCCTGAAAATGTATTGCTATCTGTTATGCAATAGCAGATCAATTGTTCCCTGTCTGGATGATCACAATACAGAACTGTAAACAATTAAAAATTCTTAAAGGATATGGTGACCTTACTAATGATTGCATGTCTGTTAACTAAGAAGTTACAATTCTAAAAATACTTTATTTACAGTGATTTAAGCAGAAAAATATCATGAAAAACAGAAATAAAACATGTCCATAAAATGAACATGTCCATATAAAAATGAAATCATATAAGAACAACTTAAGTCTTTAGCACCCAGTTTTTGTACTCCTAAAATGAAAGACATACTGGGAAAGGTATGGTGAAATGGAAATTTCAGCTATATTATTTATATATATATACACACACACACACATATATATATAAGCCCTTAAATAACAATTGAGTTACAACTTCCTTTCCAAAGTGTTCTTCCCTCACTACTTCCAAAAAATTCCTTTCAGTAGCTCAACTATTGTAGACTAGAAAGGCAAAACCACGCCAACGTTAATCCTGAAGGATGCTACAGCTGCAGCCTCCTGCACATAAAATATACAGTGCGTTCTTTTTACCTGTGATTAGAAGACATATTGGTTTAGCAGTAATCTTAAAACTACTGGTTTCACCAAACTTCCTCTAAGTTTTTTTGTCATGATAATAAAAGATATTTGATCATTAATGTAATCTGTTAATTAGTACTTTTTTAA